GTAATTCAAAGCACAATACGCGCAGGGGTGCAGGCATTCTTCCTGAGTGCACCAGGGGAGAACGGGGAATAGTGCTCATATTGAATATTTGTAGAGGAACAATAATTAACAGGGAGACGGTGACAAGATATAGAAAAGCGAGGGGAAGGAGGAGGAGGAGGAGGAAGGGGAGGAGAATAGGAAGAGGAGGTGGGGAAGGAGGTCGCTGTCTGAAGGCGGCGCAGAAAGTCTGCCTTCCGCGCAGGAGTGGCGGATCAGAAATTGTTATTTCCCATTCAGGGCTGGCCAAAATCAGCCCTCGCGGCGTCGAGTTGTCCGCCCCTGCGGATTCGAATCGTCGGGCCGCGAAGTCCTTCCCAGCTTTTGCTTGCCCGGCTCTGAATTGACCCCCCGCCCCCCCGCCCTGAATTGTCAGCCCGCGCCCCCCCCCCCCCCCGGGCTTCCAGACAACCCAGGATTGTCCGCCCTCCGTCTGCCTGCCCCGCTCTCCCGCTATTGCGGTGGCGCTACGGGCCCGCGATTCTTTTTTTCATTGTCCGCCCCAGAAGCCCGAGATGGAACTATATACCTGTCCCCCCCAGAAGAGGTATGCTTATCCAGCTGCGCGCGGCAACTCCCGCCACCGCGCCAGTCCCGCAGTCTTTGTAGCAGCTGTTCGAATCGATGAGAAGGATGGCGTTGACGAAGGCGATATACGATGAAGAAGACAAGGAACATATGATGACAATTGTGGCGGGCAGAAGGGATGAATCACATGCTGATGCTGGTCGTGGTGGTAAAGATGGCGATCATGAAGAATATGAGGAGGACGTTGGCGAGGATGGTGGTGATGATCCTGATAGGGAGGATGCTGAGGATGATGATGATGGTGATGGTGATAATGATGGTGATGATGATGATGGTACCGGTGATGGTTACGATACTGGTGATGATGGTGGTGATGGTGCTGATGACGGTTTTGATGATGCACGTGATGATGGTGGTGACGAGGATGATGATGATGATGGTGAGGAGAAGGAGGAAAACGAATTCGAGGAGGATGAGGAGGAGGATGAGGAAGAGGAACAGGAGGAGGAGGAGGAGGAGGAGTTGATGATGATGCGGATTCTGATGCTGATGCTGATGGTGAGCGTGATGGTGATTGTCATGGTGATTGCGATGATGATGCTAATGATGTTGATGATGGTAATGGTGATGGTGTTGGCAATGGTAATGATGATGGAGGTGATGGTGCTGATAACGACGATGGCAATGGTGACGATGATGATGATTGTGGTCATGTTGACGAGAGGGACGAGGACCAGAAGGAGGTGGAGGAGTCCGTCCTCATCATCCTCATTTACCACTGTTTACCGTCATCGTTGTCGTCGTCGGCGTCGTCGTCGTGATCGTCGTTTTCGTCGTCGTAGTCATCGTCGTATTCGTCGTCATCTGCGTTCGGGAGTTGGTTTACCCGTGACCCCGGTCCTCCAAGCCTGCTTTGCATCGGGGCATACATACACGTTTTCTCGTCTCGTTGCGTTGCCACGTGGCGAGTATAATTACATAGTTTGTCTTTTGCTCCGAGGCGTTGCCACGTGGCGACTGGGGGCGACTGTGGGTGGAATTGTGTTTTTTCGCCCGCAGCATTGCCACGTAACGAATCGAGTGACTTAGTTGGTCGCCCCCCAGGCGTTGCCAAGTGGCGAGTAGAGTGGAATCGCATTCTGGTTCGCCTTCCAGGCTACGTTGCGAATAGAGTGGAGCTGATTTCTGTTCCACCTCCCCGGCATTGCCACGTGGCGAGTATGGAGGGATAGTATGTTTCCCGCCCCGCGACGCTGCCACATTGCGGGTAAAGTGGAATACTGTTTTCGACCCCGAGGTGTTGCCACGTGTCAAGGATGGTGGAATTGCATGGTCTTCGGCCCCCTGGCGTTGCAGCGTGACGGGTCGGGAGGAACAGTACTCGCTTCCGTCCCCGTGCGCTGCCGCATGCTGTGCGCAATCATGTATTGATATGTTCTGCTCCCAGGCGATGCCACGTGACGAGTGGAATGCAGCAGTACCTGTTTTTTCGCCCCCGAGGCGTTGCCGCGTGACCCGTAAAATTATACAGTCAAAACCCTAGTAAGGACGCGCGACTTTGCTCAGGGTACCCTTGCGCCCTTGCTCTTGCTTGCTCTTGCGTCCTTGACGTTTTCGTCGTCCGCCGCCCCAGAAATCCCAACTTCGGCTTCCAAGGGTCTTGCGTCCTTGCCGCGCGTCCTCATTAGGGTTTTTGACTGTAATGTGATCCTCGTTCGGACCCCCGAGGCGTTGCCACGTGACGAGTAGAGTGGAATAGTATAGCGCTCTGTTTGGCCCCCGGGCGTTGCCACGCGGTGGGCGGGCGCGCCCGCCGGCGGGCGAGCGAGCGGGGGAGGGGGCGTCGTCGTCGCCGCCGTCTTCTGTCGTCGTCGTCCTTCTCGTCGACCTTGCCGTCGGCGGCGTCGTCGTCGTAGTCGTTGAATGTTGTCGTCGTTGTTGTCGCTGTGATCGTCGTCGTCGTCGTAGAAAAAGTACGTGGTGTCGTCGTCGCCATTTGTTCTCGTCATCGCTGTCGTCGTCATCGTAGTGATCATCGTTGTCGTTGTAGTCATCGTCGTCGTCGTCGCTCGGGAGTTTGTTACCCGTGACCCAGGTCCTCCCGAAGGCATGTTCTTCGACGATGAACATGCACGTTGTTTCGTCTCGCTGCGTTTTCACGTACTGCGTAGAATGGCGTAGGTTCTTGTCGGCTCCGATACTTTGTCACGTGGCGAGTGGAATATTTTGTTTCAACCCCAAGGCTTTGGCACGTGGCGAGCAAGAGAGGACACGTATTTGTTCTGCCCTCCCAAGACATTGCCATGCGACGAGTCGAGGGGAATAGTTTCTTTTCGCCATCCCCCACAGGCCCAGGCGTTGCCAAGTGGCGAGTAGAGTGGAATCTTAGCTTGTTTCACCCCCTAGGTTTTGCCACATTGCGAGTCAAGTGGAATAGTAGCCCGCCAGGCATTGCAACATGGCGAGTACAGTGTCACTGCATGTTTCCCGCCCCACGACGTTGCCCCATTACGAGTAACGTTAAATACTTGGCTGTTCGCCCACAAGGCGTTGCCACGTGGCGAGTGGCAAGTAGAGTGAAGTTGTTTTCGTTTCGGCCCCCTGGCGTTGCCACGTTAAGAGTAGAGTGGAATAGTATTTGCTTCCGTCTCTCTCTACGTTGCCACGCGACGTGCAGAACAGTCTACTGTTTTTTGCTCGCACGCCAAGCGTTGGTGTGTGCGGTTCGGCCGTTCGTCGCCGCCGCCGCCGCCTTCGTCGTCGTCGCCGCCGCCTTCGTCGTCGCCGTGCTGCTGCTGCTGCTGTTCCAAGGTCTATTGCTCGGCATCGTCGTTAATGTGTTTTTATTCTCCACTTGGTGCTTGCACTTATAGGGGTTCTTACTTCTCCCCCAAAGGAATTGGATGGGTCCGTCGAGGTTGCACCGCGTCGCCGCCCGTTACTGTTGCCGCGCGTCGCCGCGTCGCCGCGTCGCCGCCTGTTGCCAGCTCATTGCCGCCTCATTGCCGACCGCTTGGAGGTGTCCGGGGAGGTTTCGCCGCGCCGCTTCGTATTGCCACCTCGTTGTTGCCCGTTTGTGGGGGCCCTGGAGATTTCGCCGCGTCGCCGCCCGTTGCCGCCTCGTTGTCGACCACTTGGGGTCTCCGTGGAGGTTTCGCCGCGTCGCTGCCCGTTGTCGCCTCGTAGGCGCCTCGGCGCCGCCCACTCGGGGTGTCTGTGGAGGTTTCGCTGCGTCGCCGCCCACGGCCCCCTCGAGGCCGCCTCGTTTCCACTCACTGGGGGCGGGGTCCGTTGAGGTCTCGCCGCGTCACCGCCTCGTTACCGGCCCGTTGGCGCTTCGTTGCCGCCCACCTGGGGGCGTCTCCCAGCTGAAACCGTCTGCGGTTTAAGTCGCCCAGACGAACTCGCTCGGGCGACTTCGCCCCGGATGAACTCGTCCGGACGAAATCGTTTCGGATGAAAACGTGTGTGATGTCATGGTCGTTCGGATGCTCTCCCCCGCATCTGGGCCAAACGGAGTATCCCGGAAGGAGCTGTCTGGAAGAAGTTGTCCAGACGAAGTCGTCGCAGAAGATGTGGACCGGATGGCTTTGTCCAGAATTGCATAAGAATTTGTCCAGAAGAAGTCGTCTGCGAAGAATTTGTCCAGAATAATATGTCCTGAAGAATGTGTCCATCATATTTTGTCCGGACAAAGTCGTCTCGGAAGATGTTGTTTTCGGTCGAGGTCGTTCGGATGTTCTCCGCATCTCGGCCGAACGAAATCTTCTGGAAGAAGCCGTTCGGAAGTCTTTGTCTGGAATAATTTGTCCGGAAGAAAAGTGTAAGGACGAATCCGTCTGGATAAGTTCGTCTCGGATGAATGCGTCTGGATGAAACGGCTTCGGATGAAACAGTCGGCTCTCCTCGGGGTAGGTATGTAGAGTTCATTCCAGGAACGCATCCTTGGCCTGAGCGTGACGATGCTTGGAACAGCTGGGCTAGTGACTGGAGCCTCATGAGCGACGCGGTGAGCAGTATTTGCCAGAAGAAGGGGGAGAGGAGAAAGGAGGGGGCTACATTAGCGGCTACATCCTCATCCTCATACTCTCACCTCTCCGCTCCCTTTATCCACTCTTACCTTTCTTCCTCCCTTCCTGTACCCCTCCCCTGGGTGTCGACAGAAAGGAGTGGCACGAACGCAGCTGATCCTGTTTTGAAGGAGGGAGATGAGGTTGATGATGCCGGCGAAGGCGAGCAGAGCAGATGCGGGGACAGAATCAGAGCCATGATAACAAGCATTGGTACGAGCAGTCTGGTGGAGAAACGGAGGCAGATGCAGGGAAAACAGAAGCAGCAGCAGGGGCACGAACAGGAGCAGAAGCAGGAGCAAGACAAGCAAGACACCAGACGGGGATTGAGCCATTTCGGCCAAGGTGATCTTTCCAGGGACCATGGTAAGAAAGAAGAGGAAACAAGAACGTCGGGATGACCAACAGGACACTGCGACAAAGAGGAGAAAGGCGAATGAGCCTTTCGATGGCCAACAAGACGAGGCGACCATGGAGGACCAGGTCAATCAGATGCAGAGGAACGACCCCGTCGCGAAGAGGCAGTGGCGCCTATATTGTGACGTCCTCGGCGACAACCTCTATGACCCTGCTAAGCACGACATCACTTTCCTCGAAGACTTCATCACGCAATTCAAGGCGGGCGAGCGATGGGACGACGTGCAGAAAGAAACAGTTAAATCGATTGTGGACCAGGTCAAGGAGATGCAGAGGAGCGACCCCGTCGCCAAGGCGCAGTGGAACTTGTACTGTGAGGTCCTCGGCGAAAACACGAAAGACCCCGCAAAGCTCGACACTACCTCCATCAGAGACTTCATCAAGCAGTTTGAAGAAGGCGTGCGATGGGATGACCAACAGGACGAGGCGAGCATGGTCGAACAGATCAAGAAGATGCAGAGGAGCGACCCCGCCGCCAAGGCGCAGTGGTACACATACTGCGAGGTCTTCGGCGGTAACGTCAGAGACCCCGCCAGACACGAGGACGCCTTCCTCAGAGACTTCGCCACGCAGTACAGAAACGGCGTGCGATGGGATTACCAGGAGGAGGACGAGGAGGAGGATCCAGGGAAGGCCAAGCCTACCCCAGAGCAGACTTGCCCTGCCGAGCGGCCTTCGGCGCACGCCGTGGGGGCGCCCAGGAGCCAGGCTCCAGCGCACGCCGTGGCTGGGCTGGGACCGTGGCCCCTGCGGCGCCTTCGGCTTGGGCACCCCGAGATCCGCCGGTGCACGTGGGGCGTTCCAAGAGGGGCCCTGCCTTCGAGGATGGAAAGAGATCTGGCGGCGGAGGACGCCTCCGATGTCATCTCTTCCTCGGCGGAAGGCGACGGAAGGTCGGCGGAAGTAAAACGAGGCCGCCTCCGTCGGCGGAAGGGGGGCGGAAGGGCGGCGGAAATAAAGGATGCGTCCCCAAGAGATAACACGTTTTTGGGTTCAGGGCCTGTCAGGGTTTCCGGAATCGCCCAGGTGTATATATATATATATATACATATGTATATACACATACAGACATACATATACATAGCAGGTATATATATGTGTGTTTGCGCGAGAGAGAGAGAGAGAGAGAGAGAGAGTGAGTGTGTGCATGTGTGTGTGTTCTTCAATCCGCGGCCCCACAAGTCTGGCTTTTTCCCTGGGTTCCAATTGTTCGCCCTTGATCCCTGTTTGATGGCCCCGGGGCCTGATCGTGGCCCCCGAGGGCGGACATCGAGGTCCGGGTTTGCCCCGCCCCCCCCCCCGCGACAGGAGAAGGAGGGCGACGCCGAAGAGGCGGCCAGGGACGAGGAGATGCCAGCGGCGGCGAGGCGCCGGCGGCGGCGAGGCGGCCAGGGCAGAGAGCGCCCGGGCGCGCGGGCGCGGAGCCCGCCGGGGCCGCCGCCCCAATGGGCGCAGCCGTCGAACATCTACGCCCGGGACGCCGGGGCGGCCACGCGTAAGAGGGACCTTTCGCCAGAGTGACCGACCTCTGGTGCGGGCCCACATCAGGGGCAACGAGAAGGGGGATATGCATAGGGCGGGATGCATCGATCGCCAATCGTCCATGAATCGCCGATGGGGGCCCGATAGCCCCAACCTGCCCAGGAGCGTGCGGATTCGCGACCGGGTGCCGATCGCCGATCTGTCGGCGATGCATCGCCGATTCCAGATCGATGCTTCCCCCTTATGCCAGTCCCCCCCTGTCGTTGCCCCTCGTCACAGGGGTCCTTCCTGCACTGGCTTGCGCGCCTGGGTTTGGCTTCCCCGCGGCCCGCGCACGACCCGCGCCAGAGGTCACTGCTGCCCAGGGTCACTCTGGCGCGCAGCCGAGCGGGGCGGGGCGGCGCTTCCTACGGCTGGCGGCGATGGACCCAGAGATCCAGGCGTTGCAAGTGTTCCACAACGGTCGGGGGTTCGTGGCGGGGGGGCCATCGTGCTCCCACGGTGGGGTTCGGGAAGGACCCCAGCCTGATGCTCACGTTTCCTTCTTCTGGTGGCTATTCAGAGTGATTCTCCTCTAGCCCCACCTCTGCCCCTGCCCCCCACCTTCACGCCCCCCCGAACTAAGCGTTCTCGCCCGTTTTCGGGCGCCGGGGCCCTCACATATCGATCCAGCTCGAGGAATACCGCCAAAAGATGCCGTCTGGGGCTCCAGCCGGTGTGTCTCACGCTGTTGCAGTTGTTTTTCGCGCCGTCGGATTTCCAGGGAATGCGACTGCGTCGGTGACGGCGGCGACGGCGACTGTGCGCGGGAGGCAAGGCAATGCAAGGCAAGGCGCGCCTGAGTCCGCCGGGGAGGCGGGGCCTGGAAGGCCGGCGCGGGCGGGCTGGGGCCCTCAGTTGCAGATGTGGAATTTGTGGTCAGTGCTGTGTGTGTGTGGCGTAGGAACGCTTGTTCCAAATTGCTCCATTGAGTGCTGTCCTGTGCTAGTGTAAATCATCGTTCGCTTCCAGGTTGGAGAAACATGTTTGCTGTTAGACCCCCGTGTCTGCGGACTGCTTGCCGGAGGTCGTGGATGTCCGGCTCTCACGTCGCAGCAAGTCGGGCCCATCGGAGTCGGAATTTGCAGAATACCTTCAACCATTCCGCCAACATAAATAATCAAGATCGTGAGCTGGAGTCGAAAAGGCGGGAGCTGGAATCGGATCCGAGGTCGGGGACGCGGGATGGGAGCTGGAGTCGGAGAGGCGGGAATTGGAATTGGAGCCGGAGTCGGAGAGACGGGAACCGCAGTCGGAGCCGGAGTCGGAGAGATGGGACGGGCGCCGGAGTCGGAAACCAGGGAGCTGGAATCGGAGCTGGAGTCGGAGAAATGGGCGCCGAAATTGGAAACGGAGTCTTAATTAAAGATGGACGGGAGCTGGAATCGTAAAGTCGGGAGCCTGAGCCAGGGCTGGAGTCGGAGAGGTGGGAGCCGGAGTCGGAACCAGAAGGAGACATTCAAGCATTCCTGTCAACATAAATAATTTAGATCGTGAGCTGGAGTCGGAAAACCTTCAACCATTCCTGCCAACATAAAAATCAGGCTCGTGAGCTGGAGTCGGAAAAACGGGAGCTGGGATCGGAACCGGGGTCGGGGAGATGGGATGGGAGCTGGAGTCGGAGAAACGGGAACCGGAGTCGGAGCCGGAGTCGGAGAGATGGGATCTGCAGAGATAGGACGGCCGCTGGAGTCGGAAAGCTGGGAGCTGGAATCGGTGCTGGAGTCGGAAAGGTGGGCGCCGAAACAGTGCCGGAGAGATGAGGCGGGAGTTGGAGACGAAACCAGTGTCGGAGATAGGGGAGCCCCTGGGTTCAAATCAGATGGTTTTATTGGAGCCTCTGTGGGGAAGGGACAGGTATTCTTCCATGTAGCTGAGAAAGCCGTCCTCCAAACCGTTTCACAATGGTGCATGTGATGCCATATCTACCTATTGGATGTCGCATTGGTATTCTGTAACATTCTTAATAAAATACCGTATATCATCGTCCCAAGTCTTTCGCTGCCCGCCGCGTCGTCGTTCTGCTCGTCGTGCGTCGTGCATGTTCGGGTCCCAAAGTATACAACGCCTCGTCCATCTGTCGGCGCTGCTCGGCCTCGTCGCAGGCCGGCCGCAGGGGTCGGGCGCTGCGCGCGCTCTGCCAGCTCCGTTGTTGGGAACTCTGGGGTAGCGCGTCGCTCCGCCGTTTCTGGCCCACCACGCTTCGGCGCGACACGCTATCCACTTCCTGGCCCTCAGGCGTCTGATTTCCCGAACGTTTCCCCGACCTCCCGCCCCGCGGAGCGGAGCGACACCGCTATCCGCATGCACAGCATAGCGGGTCGCTGGGGCCGCCCCCGCGACACGCTAATTACCCAAGAGTTCCCGAACCTATTGGGCACGGTCGGGGGCGGCAGGCACCTGCGTGCTGCGTGTGTGCGGTGCGAGCGGGTTGCGCTCTGGCGGGGGGGGCGAGGAGGCGTGGTTGAGGCTGCCCATCTCTTGGGATGGGCGCGGCGCTAATCAGCCTGACTGGAGGGCGTCCCATGCGGGGGCTTCCAGCGGGCTCAGAGCCCCTCTGGGGCCTCGGGTGCCAGGCGATAGGCCTTATAAGGCTTGCCGCCCGTGCTCAGAGGTCCTGGCCATGGGGGGGCGGCGCTGGGCGCCCGGGAGTCGGAGTATGAGGCTCGCCAGGACGCATCAGCAATCATTTAAGGCCCCAACCAGCGTGGACCTGGTGGGGGGGGGGCGCCGGGCGGACCGGCGTGGCCCGGTATGCGGAAAGAGGAGAGAGGAAAGAGGAAAGAGGCCGTGTGGCCGCGGGGAGCGGAAGGACGAGGCTGGGCAGCTGCACACGGGGTGCTCCAGCGACGGCCTCGCCTTCGAGGGGCCGAGGGGCTGGCGCCCAGATTGCGCGGAGGGCGACGGGAGTTGGACATGCCCCCCAGCGGGGGTCCATGTTGGTGTCGCCAGGGTTTCTCTTGGTATCGCTCGGACGTGTGCATTTTTACTCGGCGAGGTCCATCGGAGAGCATCCTGGAGCATCGAGAGACAAAACGCACGAAGCCGAGAAATGCGCGCGATGGCAGGTTCTAGAGCCGCCAGATGGCATGGCCAGCCTTTGCAAGAGTTGGACGCACGTGAGGCTACATGTGTTCCCGGCGCTCTGCCCTGTGCAGGCGGGCACCTGGAACATCCGCATGCGTATCTGGAGCTTGGACCCCGCATCTTCCGCACGTGACTCCACCCGTGTGCATACATGTTCCAGCCCCATGGCAGGTCACCCGCCGGGGGCGCAATCCTCCAGCTGCAGTCCACCTCTCGGCCCTCCCTCCACGCCTCCCCACTTCTACTCCTCCCCGCTCTCCTTCCGGCTCTTCTACGTTCCTCCCTCCGTTCTTCTTTGTTGTTTGACGAACGAGCAACGCACGCCCATACCCTCAGGACCATAGGATGGCCGCAGGGAAGAGGACTGGCTATGGCTGTGGGCGCGGGTTGTCGGGCCCTGGGGGAGGCTCCAGTTCGAGCGGGGAGCCCCCCCCCGTCCCCCCGGCGGGTGTGGGTGCGTGTTGTCCGCTCGTCGTCGTTCCTTATCGCTCCTCCGTCCTCCGTTCCAGGCCACTCCCCTCCCCACCCCTGAGCTCCGGAACGCCGTCGGCCGGCGGCGCGCCCCCTCCCCTGTCGGTGGTCCTGGCGACGTCGGGGGAGCGGGTGCCGAAACGAGCCCCCCCCGACGACGACGACGACGACGACGACGATGACGACGACGAGGACGACGACGACGACGACGACGAAGAGCCGCTCGAGCCCGCCCGTTTGGTTCAGCAGGGCATGAGGCTGCAGACGCGAAGTGTCTGGCTGTTTCTCCGGGGGCTGGCCTGTGCGTGGGGGGAGGCCGCAGCACCGCTCAGCGATGCGCTGTGCACCAGGCCGCCTGGCCCTGCATCGGCGGCGAGCGCGGGGTGTGAACATGAGAAGGGGCGGGCCTCCTCAGAAGGCTCGGAGGTCCCTGAGCCTTCTGAGAAGTTTCTTGACCCTCCCCCGAAGACAGAAAGAACTTCTCAGAAGGCGCGAGGGCTTCGGAGAAGTCCCGCCGACTTCTTAGAAGGCCTTCTACTTCTCACTTCCTCCCCCCCCTCGCCGCCGACTGTAGGGCTGGCCCTCTCCCAAATCCGTTCTCCCGTGCGGATCGTAACGGCGCCTTGTCTCCGTTGGCGTCGTCGTGGTCGTGGTGCGAACTGGCTCTGCTCGGGGCGCGTTTCCCTTCTGCAGCGACCTCACTTTTTTCTGTTCCATTCGGTCAAGGAAGGGAAATGCACCCCGACCCCCATAATTGGCGTTTACGAAACGGCCCTGAGCGTTTACAACACAGCCCTGCCCTGCTCGATCCCTTCGGAGGTGCGTTTACTAGAGGGCTTCGCTTGTCGGGGTGCTTATTTACGGGGGTGGTTATTCTGCCCTCTATTCGGGCGCACTCCTCCGCGCTTCTCCACAGTCATCCGCTCGGGTGTTGCCAGACGCCCAATGTGTCCCCAGGATTTCCAAGGAGGCCCCCCACGGCCTCCAGAGCAACATCCACGAGGCCCAGGGGGGCCCACAGGGGTTCCGAAACGGCGCGAACATCTGGAACACTTTGGGCCAGGGACGTTTTTGGGGCAACCACAGTCTTGGAAGCTTCCGCTCGTCTCGGATAGTATGTATGTACATGCATACATACATACATACATACATACATACATACATACATACATACATACATACATACATACATACATACATACATATATATATATATACATGCATGCATGCATGCATGCATGCATGCATGCATGCATGCATACATACATACATACATACATACATACACATACACATACATACATACATATATATATATATATATATATTGTAGTGGCCTTCGGCCAGTGCCGCCGATCCGGGTCGCTCGGGGTTATTCTCCAGACGCAGAAATTATGGGCGCACACTCAAACGCACACACACAGTCACACCACTTAACCTGCGCCGCAGACATGCGCACACAGCATCACCCACACACACATACTAGTTGGGAAACGCTCCTGTAGTACTAGTAGTAGTATTAGTAGTAGTAGTAGTAGTAGTAGTAGCAGTAGTAGTAGTAGTAGTAGTAGTAGTAGTGGTAGTAGTAGTAGTAGTAGTGGTTGTGGTAGTAGTGGTAGTAGTAGTAGAGGCCTCGTTCCGCGGCTTCTCTCGACTTCCCGCGGTCTCTCTCAAGTTTCGAGCACGCGGTGAGTTTCACGATATATGTGTGTGTATGTACGCGTGCATGCATGTATGCATGCATTGATCATGTGTGCCTGTGTGTAGGTACGTATGTATGTATGTATGCTTGTGCGCGTATGTATGTATTTAGTTTGTATGTATGTTTGTATGTGTGTATGATAATATGTGTGTATGTGTGTGAATGTAAGTATGTATGTCTGGAAGATTGTTTTTCTATGTATGCAAATGTGTTTAAATGTAGGTATGTATGCATGTGTGTATGGATGTGCGTTTGAAGAGCGAGGATGTTTCAAAGAAGAGGCACTCGGTGACGCGATCGTTGAGGGATAGGAGTGAGGTCGCAGAGGAGGAGGAGGAGAATGAGGAAGAGGCGATAACTTGAAGGAAAACGATGAGACGGAGGACATCCTGCCGGTGGCGCCCTGGGCGGTGCCGCGGAAGAAACCGGGGGCCTGCCGGAGGCAGTCTGGAGGCCTCTGGGGAGCTGTTTTGGGGCCTCTTGGAACCTCTTTTGGGCCTCTTGTGGGCTTCTTGGGGCCCCTTGGGGGTCTCTTGGGGCCTCCTGGGGGCCTCTTGGGGCGGAAAGCTCGGTTCTTTCGGTTCGTGGTCCCCCTCTTGGGCCCCTCTTGGGGCTCTCTTGGGGCCTTCTTGGGCTGTCCAGAGGCCCTCTTGGGCCGTCTTGGGGCCCTCTTGGGCCGTCTTGGGGCTCTCTTGGGCCGTGTTGGAAGCATCGTGGGCCGTCTTGGGACGGACTTGGGGGCCTCTTGGGCCGTCTTCGAGCGTCGGACGCCCGAAAAGGCAAGAACGCTAAAAACCCTGAGAAAACCAATGAAAATCAACGATTCTGGCCTCTTGGGGCCCTCTTGGGAGGCCTCTTGGAAGCTTCTTGGGGCGTCTTGGAGACACCTTGGGCCGTCTGGAGGCCATCTCGGGCGTCTTGGAGCGATTTTTCGGCGACTCGGGGCCCTCTTGGAACCCCTTGGGGGTCTCTTGGGCCCCCCCCCTCCTCCAAAGCGCCGGAAAAAGCGGAGCATGGCGCCCCCCCCCCCCCTATCTTCCACTCCCCCGGAGCGGCCCCGGGGTTCGCCGGAAACTCGCACCCCCCCCCCCCCCCCCACCCCCCCTTCCCCGGCAGAGCCACCCCGGCGACCCCCCCAGAGGCTGAAGCTCAGCCTCGAGGCTGTAGCTGAGACTCCTTGAAACTCACACGCCGGATCGGCGGATATACAAATATTCTGCGAATAGCACCAAATAGCGCCCAGTAGCACCGCCTAGCCCACAACTAGCGCCCAATAGCGACCAATAGCGCCCAAAAGCGCCATGTGAGCGAGATGAATTCTGTCTGCTTTGCGCGCTATCGGGCGCCACGGGAGCGACCACCAAAGCACCCGCTCCACTCCCCCCCCGCGCCAGACCTCTGCGCTCCCCCCGGTCCTTGCCCGTGGGGCACCCGCTCTTCGTGGGTGCCCTCCCTGATTGCGGCCGTGCCGTCCAAGATCCCTTCCGGCCGTCCAGGTCCCGCTGTTCGCTCCTCCCCCCGCCAGATTCTTGCCCCCCCCCGGACCCCCGGAGAATGTTTGTGCATCATTTTTGGCAACGGTCGTTACAACGGGGTTCGGGCGTTGCGTAACGGGGGGGCGATCAATTTGGGGGCGAAGAAGTCTGCACCTTTCATGCGCCTTAGGTGCCGTAAAGGGGCCCTCTGGGCCCAAACGGGGTACGGAAGGTGCGCGCTTCTTCGCCCTTCCATGTCTCGCTCCCCCATGAAGCAACGCCCAGGGGTGGGGTGTGGGCCCCGGGTCACGGCACCGCTAGGGTGGGGTGCACATGGGACACGTCAGGCGCGGGGAGACGGATCGCGCGCGAGAGTTGTAGCAGTTCTTCAGGGTAGTGGTGGAGGACGGCGGCCAGTCGGGCCAGCCCCACTTGTCGCCATGATGCAAGCGGGCCCTGAGGTGTTCGTGATTTTCCTGTTGTTGTTTGTGTTCGATGTGTTTGGCCTCTCTGGGCCCTCCGCGGGCCCTGGGAATGCTTGAATACGGCTCAGGACGAAAAGCTGGTCCCGGGGGAAGGCCCCATGTTCCAGGGCCAATTTCCCTCAGGACCCGTTTGTTTCATGTCAGACTGTGGGGGAACCTCCTCCCTTGGCACCCTCTCCTCGCCTCTGCTTCGACGGGACACGATACGCTGAGATGAGGAGAAGCTTGGGCTCGGAGGTGGCTCGTTGTTCCTCAGGTCCTTCCTTGCTTGCTCCTCCAGCGTTCTTCGAGCACCGAGGCGCTCGTTTGGCCAAGAAGAGGCCCCGTTCCTTATTCAGCGTTCCGTATTGCATTCGCCCGACTGTGCCATCGGATGAGCCCATGCCGTCGGCCCCTCCCCTCGCCTCCCCCTTCCTCGCAGCCCCTCCCCCTTCCCCGGCCCGAGGAAATCGACGGTCCTCGGCGGGGCAGGAGCAGGAGCAGGGGCCGCGGAGGCCACAGCGAGAGAGTCCCCTACGGCAAGCCGCCCAGGAGGGGCATGGACGAGGACGCGTCGAGCCGGCGCCATCGGACGGGGGTGGGAGGAGAAGAAGGAGGACGAGGAGGAGGAGGAGGAGGAGGAGGAGGAGAGCAGCGGAGAGCAGCGGCAGGGCGTCGCGTCGGCCAGGCCAACTAGACGCAGCACGGGCGGCCAGGGGGCCGCCGCCTCAGGGGAGGCCAGTGAAGCCGATCACGTCGAGCGCGAAGGGCGGCGCGCGGGGCCAGGCCGCCCCGCGGCGCCGTGCGGCGAGCCGCAGGGGCCAAGGCGCCCCGCAGCGGCTGGCCGAGCGAGGAGAGGCCGATCTTCAACCACTCCTCCGTCGTCTCCTGCGCCCAGCAGTCCATGGCACCGACGACGTCCTGAGCGGGCCGATGGGCGGAGGCTGCCCTGCCCGCTGCAGCTCGGCCAGCCACGACCGCAGGCACACGTAGTCGTAGCGCCGCATGCAGTCCGACACGATCCTCTGCGACCGCGTCAACGTGTTGCGCCACCTGTAGTAGGCCCGCCTCGCGGGCATGCCAGTACCCCAAGCACGCTCGCAGATCTCTTCGGCCATCTCCTCGGCCGTCATCCCACGCGCCCGCAGCCTGGTGGCGAAGCGCGGCTGGGACAGGAACTGCGTGACGTAGCCGACGCAGTGGTCCATCCACTCGCTGTAGCACTCCATCGTCGCGCCGACCTCTGGTGCTTGGGTCCAGTACCTCGCCCATCCAGCGACCTGCAGCTCGAGCCTGGGCGCGACGCTGCGCCTTGGCTGCGCTGGCTCAGGTCGAGCCACCGTAGCGCTGCCAGCAGTCGGGGCAGGGCCATCCACAGGATCGACGCTAGTGGGTCCCCTGCCGCCCTTGGTGCTGTCCATGCACATGCCGTCGGTGACCGCGTCGTTTCCTGGGCCCAGGGCGGGGCCGCACTCACGCACGCACATTGCAGGTCCCCTGCCACCCCTGGCCCAGGCCGTACTCCGTCGCCGAACAGGGTGGGTGCTGGTGCTCAGGGCGGGGCCGCACTCAGGACCGCACAATGCAGGTCCCCTGCCACCCCTGGCACCAGCCGTAGTTGCACGTGAGCACATCTCCCCAGGAGCCATCGGCGGCTGCCACTGGTCCTCCGCAGTCGAAGCCGCTCCCAGAGGGCCACTGCCAGTGCTCAGGGCGGGGCCGCACTCAGGACCGCACATTGCAGGTCCCCTGCCAACCCTGGCACTGGCCATATCCTTGCCGTCGAGGTCCTCACCGCATCCTGGGCTCAGGGCGGGGCCGCATTCACGCGAGCACAATGCAGGTCCCCTGCCACCCCTGGCCCAGGCCGTAGCACTACGCCGAACACAGTTGGCCTGCCTGCCGTCGCCGCCAGTGCCCGAGCTGGGGCCGCTCACCTCCCCAGAAGCCAGCGGCGGCTGCCCCTGGTCCTCCACATGCTGAGCCGCCCCCAGAGGGCCACTGCCAGTGCCCAGGGCGGGGCCGCACTCAGGACTGCACTCTGCAGGTCCCCTGCCAACCCTGGCACTGGCCATACCCTTGCCGTCGGGGTCCTCGTCGCATCCTGGGCTCAGGGCGGGGCCGCACTCACGCACGCACATTGCAGGTCCCCTGCCACCCCTGGCCCAGGCCGTAGTACTACGCCGAACACTGTTGTCCAGGCTGCCGTCGCCGTCAATGCCCGTGCTGGGGCAGCTCACAGGGTCGCGGCTCGCAGGCCTTCTGCCAGCCTCGTCACTGTCCATGCCTGGCTGCGACCACTGCGGGTTGTCAGGCCTGCCAGCACTCAGGGCGGGGCCGCACTCAGGACCGCACTTTGCAGGTCCCCTGCCACCCCTGGTGCTGGCCATATCAGAACGTTGGACTAGCAGGTGCTGCTGCCTTTGCTGCATCCGTTCAAGAAGCTCCTGCCGTCGAACACGCCAAGCAGGCTTCTTGGTCTGAGCCTCGCTGGAGCCAGCAGCCCCTGCAGGCACCTCGCACGCCTCGTGGTCCTGGCTGGGAAAGGTCGCCTCGCCCTGCGCCGTCTGCACGTGCTTGCCGCTTGGCCGCTCTGCAGCGCCGTCGCCCTCGGAGGCCATGTCGCCCGCGGCCGCGCTGGCCGCTGCTGTGGCCCGTGCTCTGGGGCCGTCTGGAGCCTCGCCTGCACCTCCCCAGGTGAGCGCCTTCCCCGTCTTGGGGTGCAGCCCTTGGGTCAGCTTCTTGAGCCGCGCCCTGAGGTTGGACAGGTAGGTCCGGTGGCTTAGCATTGGCTCAGGCCATCAGAAAGGAGGGAAACGGGCCACTCTTCGACACGGATGAACGCGGCTCGAAAAATTCTTTACGCTTCGCGTATCCCCACCAGCCCATCTCAAAACAGCAACTCTTGCGAAGCATGCCGACAGTCGTGTTTTTTTCAGGCGTGTTTCCGCCTGCCCCCGCATATCTCCCCTGTTCCTCCTTCCTCCCGCCTCCTTGTACATCCTCCTTGTGGTGGGAGCGGGAGAAGGACGAGGCGGAGGAGGAGGGAGAGAAAGCGCTCCTCGTGGTTTGAGTCGTTTGGGGTTTCTTGTCCTGGTGTGAGTCGTTCGGGCCCTTCTTCCTGGTGTGAATCGTTCGGGCTCTTCGTGATGTGAGTCGTTCGGGCTCTTCGTCCTGGTGTGAGTCGTTCGGGCTTCTCGTGGTGTGAGTTGTTCGGGCCCCTCGTCGTCGTGTGAGTCGTTCGGGCCCCTCCTCCTGGTGTGACTCGTTCGGGCTCCTCGTGGTGTGAGTCGTTCGGGGCCCTCGTCGTGGTGTGAGTCGTTTTGGGAGCCTCTTGGAGGCCTTTTGGGGCGTCTTCGGGGCCTCTTGGCGGCCCCAGGGGCTTCTAGGAGCGTCTTGGGTGCCTTGGGGGAGCCTCTTCGGGCCTCTTGGGAGCCTCTTGGAGGCCGTTTGGGGCGTCTTGGGGGCCTCTTGGCGGCTCCAGGGGCTTCCAGGAGCGTCTTGGGTGCCTCGGGGGAGCCTCTTGGGGCCTCTTGGGCGCCTCTTGGGGGCATCTTGGGGGCCTCTTGGAGGCCTCTTGGGGCCTCTTGGGACTCTTTGGGAGGGGTCTGGGAGGAATCTTGGGGCCATCTGTCGGGCGATCGATCACAGATGGGGCGAGCACTTTTCTCCCCCCCCCCGTCGGGGCCAGAATCCTCGTGAGGGGTGTCGAATTTTAGCCCTCCCAGGTCGAAAAAGACCCCTCCAACGACCCGCGAGACGCCCTCTCCAGGCCCAGGGGGAGGGGGGAGGGGGAGGGGTAAACCCCTCCCCGAAGGGGAAGAAGGGGGTTGAGAACAGAGCGGGCTCTCTAAACCACTCACGCCCAAAGGGCTGGTGGGATTAGTGCGTTTGGACCCCGGGAGGGGTCCAGGGATTTATTCTCTCGACACTTCCGCACCAACCTGGCGGTCCTGGCTTGTTCTTGAAACAGCCCTTCTCTGAAGACAGTCGTTCGCCCTGTCCTGAGATATAATTCATTGGTACATCGTTGGCCTCTCCAGGGGCAGCAGAATGGTGGGGCCATATCTTACTCGTCTCACAAAAGTATTGGGTTCGGCTCGAGTATTTGTCTCGGGTCGTCTGTCTACTCCTTCGGCCGCCACGTGGGGCTCCGGCCACGGCGCGGGCCCCGGACCGCGCCCGAACATTTCTCCTCCGTTTCGTTGGTTGGCGCCCGCCACGTCCAACAGAGGCCTGTGCCGTGCAGAGTCCCTGCGGCTTGGTGGGGATGCAGGGCGCTGCTGGGTGCCGTTGGAACCCGCGGCCTGCCCGGGGCGCCCCCTGGGCCCTGGGGCGAGGGGGGGGAGGGCAGATCGTTCAAGCGAAAAGATGCTTGTTCAAGCGAAAAGCTGGTTCGTTCAAGCGAAAACGCAACCAGCGAAAGTACGTAGATAGACACATATAGACACAGAGCGGCACAGAGAGACACAGAGAGACACAGAGAGACACAGAGAGACACAGAGAGACACAGAGAGACACAGAGGGACACAGAGGGACACAGAGAGACACATATAGACACGGACACAGAGGGACATGGAGGGACACAGAGGGCACAGAGAAGCATAGAGGGACACAGAGAGACACAGAAATATAGAGGGACACAGAAGCACAGGGGGACAAAGAGGGTCACCCGGGCTGGGCGCCCGACAGAGCAGGGAACCGAGATTTCGGGCTTGTCCAGGCTCGATCTCTCCCAAACCCGCCATCCCGGCGGTCGCCGCTCGCGGGGGCAGGGGCTCGGGGCGCCCGACGGAGCCGGGAACCGGGATTTCGGGTTTCTCGAGGCTCGATCTCTCCAAAATCCCGGTTCCGGCCAACCCGGCGGTTGCCGCTCGCGGGGGCAGGGGCCCCCCTGATTCCGGATTGGCTTTTTTTTTCAACTTAAAATTGCGCCGGAAATCCATTTATAAGAAGCCGAAAAAGTAGGGCGGAAATTTCCGCCCCCAAAGAAGCAAGGCCGATCTTTTCGCCTTACTTTTTGGCGTTTCTATTCGTCGTTGAAGTCGCGCGTAGCAGAGCGCGTATTTGTTCGGATCCGAACCGTAGGAAAGTAAGGCGGAAACATAATCAAGTTCGCGCGGCGCCTCTTTTCGAAACCACCCAGAGCACCGCGTCACAGCGACGAGGCCGAACGGTCCCCCAGTGCCCCCATGTGCGGGGTTGACAAATTAGTCCACGATGCAGAGACATGTTTTCACTTGGTTGTCGCGGCCCCGCCGCCCGCGCCGCGGCCCGAGAGGGCCTCGAGACGGTCAAAGACGGCCTCGCGACGACCCGCGATGCTTCGAAGATGGCCCAAGAGGGCTCCAAGGTGCCCCCAAGCGGCCCGCGCCCACTGATCCCAGCAACGTTCATCAGTAGTTATGGCGTTTTTGCCCGTCGGATTTCGGCCCAAACGTTGTCAGGCTGGCCCGGATCTTGCCCAACAGGCCCGAAACAGGGCTTCAAGACGGCGCCAGAACGATCCAGAACGGCCTCCGAGACGGCTGACGCGGCCCAAGATGGCGCCCCTGGTCGCGCGCCGCC